CAGGTGTTGGTGGCGCATGCCTTTAATCCCAGCACTCAGGAGGCAGAGGCAGGCATATCTCTGCGTGTTCGAGGCCAGCCTGGTCTCCAGAATGAGTGCCAGGATAGGCTCCAAAGCTACATAGAGAAACCCTGTCTCGAAAAACAAAAACAAAAACAAAAACCAAAAAACAAAACAAAACAAAACTACATAGAGAAACCCTGTCTCGAAAAACAAAAACAAAAACAAAAACCAGAAAACAAAACAAAACAAAAAAAACACAAAAAAAGTTATGTAAAACACTGCTGAGCTTTGCAAGAAAACAGGTATTTTCTTGCTACCCCAAATCCTTCACTAATGTGGCCCTTGTGTCCCAGCACTGATGTAACTGTGGTTTTGTCTTAAAAAGTGACATCTCTGAGCTTGGTCACCAAGAGACTTTCAGAGGCAGCTCTCGGTCTGGCCATTAATAAAAGGACTCAAAACTAGTAATTGGCTTAATCATCATCATTGTCAATAACTATCTCTCATGGGTCATGTCACTATGACCCAGAAGACAGGTGACAATTGGAACTGGTGAACTGGGTGGTGATGGAAGCAGTAATGCTGAGATTAGAGTACATTTCAGTGTAGGAGACAGAAGTTTTGCTAGACACAGGCATGGGGGAGGATGAACACTTGCTGAGCAGATCAGTGTCTGGGAGAACAGAACATCTCTACAGGGGGGCATTTAGAAACTCTTAAGTTTGTAAATGTGCTGGACCACTAGCCAAGTTACCACTGGCAAGTTTAAATCACTGAAGGGTCCAGAGTAAGTCTGAACATTAGCCCACCTACCCAGCTTCTTCTATTGCTTGGCCCTTGCCCTATATTCTCAGTTGCTGGGAGAACAAGTTAAAAATTAAGACAAGACCCCAGCTATGTCAAGAGCTGTGCTAAAATAACCACAGACTTGTGTAAGAAAACCCCATTAAGCTTGCACAAACACACCTTGTTATCACAAGTTGTAAAATCCGAAGTGCACTCCTCTCCTTGGCCTCCCCTCAAGACCTAATCTGAAGATTATTCCTTTGACTCCCCACCCTTTGTATGTTTTTCTGCCATAAAAAAAGAAGCTTATGGGGGCTGGAGAGATGGCTCAGCAGTTAAGAGCACTGACTGTTCTTCCAGAGGTCCTGAGTTCAATTCCCAGCAACCACAGGGTGGCTCGCAACCACCTTGAATGAGATCTGCATGCAGGCAGAAGACTGCATACATAATAAATAAAATCTTAAAAAAAAAAAAAAGAATCCTATTAAAAAAAAGAAGAAGAAGAAGAAGAAGAAGCTTATGGCCTCTTCTTAGGGGTCTCAGGTCACAGAGGCAGATTCCACCCTGCCAGTGGCCCTAACCAGTTAGACACTCTGGTATCCTTCGGTGATAGGATAGAGTTGCTAATACTCATCTAACGTTGGTGGCCTCATCTTCAATATCCCCAATTATAAGCTAAAGATGGCTACCAATGTTTAAGAGTCTATTGAGTCTTTTAAGTGCTTCTCACTTAAAACTCCCTGACATCCATCAGTGAACACCAATACACCCTCTCTTTTTCTTCCCTTGCCAGTGGCCAACTCAGCCAGCAGTTAAAACTCTGAGGCCTCTGTGGCCTTGGGAAAGTCACTCTACCTTCTCTCAGGCTCCAGCTTCCTATCTGTGAAGCCGGTATAAGGTAAGTAAACAGCACGGAAGTGTCTGGAGCCCCACCTACTCGGGAGACTAAGGCAGGAGTTCGAAACCAGCCTGGGCAACATGGAGGACGCCAGCTTCTCAAAACAGAAACAAACTCGCCTGTCATCCCAGCACTTAGGGTATGAAAGCAGAGAGGATCCAGGCATTTAAGGCCTGTCTTCAAGACACAGTGAGTTCGAGTCCTGCCCCCGTCTCAAGAAAACAGGCAAAAAAAAAAAAAAAAAAAAAAAAAAAAAAAAACATTACAGACACTACAGTGATAGGAACAAGGCAGTTGGCATATGAAAACTCTAAAACGCCTCTCAGCGGGTCAGGGTTCACGACAGTGGCTTGAGAGAACCTGGAGAATTGGCTATTACAGCTCTGGGTTAGGGTCTCGTCCGCTCAACTTCCATCCTCTTAATTCCGAGGGCCGCAAGGCCCGAGCAGGGGCTGCGCCACCGTCGCCCTCGGACCCAG